TCAGTAGAGAAAGAGGACATTGGTGACAGGTAAAGAAGCAACTAAATCGTAATGATATAGTGAAAGACAGGTCGTGGAGTGGGCGACAGCGACGCCAGCCACTACTACTTTACGTCAAGAATACAAACAATAGGAAAGTAAAATTAAAATGCAACATCTAGGTACAGCCAGGCTAGTTGGCTTAGTGCTGGAATTTACTTCCTTCTTGTTGGTGATAGGCAAGTACAAACAGGTACACACACAAACACACAATTAGGTGAGTACAATTAGGTGAGTACACACACACACACACAGGGGGCCTCGTAGCCTGGTGGATAGCGCGCAGGACTCGTAATTCTGTGGCGCGGGTTCGATTCCCGCACGAGGCAGAAACAAATGGGCAAAGTTTCTTTCACCCTAAGTGCCCCTGTTACCTAGCAGTAAATAGGTACCTGGGAGTTAGTCAGCTGTCACGGGCTGCTTCTTGGGGTGTGTGTGTGGTGTGGGGGAAAAAAAAAAGTAGTTAGTAAACAGTTGATTGACAGTTGAGAGGCGGGCCGAAAGAGCAAAGCTCAACCCCCGCAAAAACACAACTAGTAAACACACACACACACACACACACACACACTCACTCACTCACTCACACTCACACACTGTATCAAAGAGCCAGAGCTCAACCCCCGCAAGCACAATTAGGTGAGTACACACACACACACCTAAACATAATAGTCAAGAAATCCCAGAGGATTGTTATAAGACTGGTCTCAGGACTGAGCTACAAGGAACGACTACAGTCGTCACCACTTTAGGAAAACGGTGATAAGAGGGGACTTGATTACAACATGCAAGATTCTTAGAGGTATTGTCATTATATAAACAAAACAAACTACAAAGTACTAGAATATATATGTGGAAGCTAGAAACTAAAATGACCAATTTGGATGTAAAGAAACAACTTCGTCAATGAAAAAGTATCGAGGAAGAAGAGGTAATTACTTTAAACTCTACACATAGTTTCAAGAGTATTTTGAGAACCAAAAGGCGGGGCCCAGAAGCTAAAGCTCACCCGTCTAGCACGTATAAGCAAGTACACACGAGACTAAATAACGCAACAAAACCCATTAAGCTCATCCTGTACAATTATACCAAACTAAATGCGATCATTAAATATTCAGCAGTGATGCTAAATCTAAGCCCAGATTGCCTCCATGGCCGCCAGGGGGCTTGGCCCCTTAACTTGGCCTCCCCGTGTTGTAACAAACTTTTCCTCTTGCTCTTACATGTTGATACAGTTACACTCTTCTTGTTGCTTCAGTTTGCAGGTGAATGTTTACAGGCGGTCGTGACACCGGGCAATATTATACCCATTTAAAACCATATATACCATAATCTCTCTCTCTCTCTCTCTCTCTCTCTCTCTCTCTCTCTCTCTCTCTCTCTCTCTCTCTCTCTCTCTCTCTCTCTCTCTCTCTCTCTCTCTCTCTCTCGCTCTCTCGCTCTCTCGCTCTCTCGCTCTCTCTCTCTCTCTCTCTCACCTTCTGTCTGTCTGTCTGTCTGTCTGTCTGTCTGTCTGTCTGTCTGTCTGTCTGTCTGTCTGTCTGTCTGTCTCTCTCTCTCTCTCTCTCTCTCTCACCTTCTGTCTGTCTCTCTCTTTCGCTCTCTCTCTCTCTCTCTCGCTCTGATATAGCACCTGTAATATCCATATGAATTAGGAGCATCCAATAAACATCAGAAAATTTAAATAAAATATCGCATCGCAACTGCATTGTTTGGCAGTATCTGTGCTTGTTGCAGGGGGGGGGTTATATGGGAAGGGAGAGGAGAGGACTTGCTGGGGGGAGGCGTATAAAAGAGGGGAAATGAGCTAGTGGGTGTTGGTGGCTGTGAATGGAGCTGGGGAATCAGATTTGTAGGCTGGGACTCGCGCTGGGAAATGAGGTCTGGCAGCTGGGAGCACAGGACTGAGGAGCTGTGAGCAGGGGCTGAGATCCTGGGGGGCTGGGTGCTGGGAAGTTGAGCTGGGTCTTATGAGGTGGGGCTGAGTGATGGAAGGTGGGCGCTGGGAAGTGGGACTGGGGTTTTGGGGGTTAGGAAAGGAGGGCTGGCTCCTGGGAGGTGGGTGCTGGGGTCCTGGGAGGATAAGGTTCTGCGGAAGTGAACAAGAGAAGGAGTATCGGCTTGCAAGATGGGATCAAGACCCATTATGTAAGACCGAGATAAGAGTAGATGATGGAGTGTGTCAGTGAGAGAGAGAGAGAGAGAGAGAGAGAGAGAGAGAGAGAGAGAGAGAGAGAGAGAGAGAGAGAGAGAGAGAGACGGAAAAGAAACACTTGATTGAATGGTCAAGGAAATTATTGAGGAAGGAAGGAAGGAAGGAAGGAAGGAAGGAAGGAAGGAAGGAAGGAAGGAGGCTGGAAGTGGGAGTACAAAGACGAATGAAAGGAAAGAATATTCAGTGCAAGAAAAGATAAACAAAGGAAGGAGCATGTATGGTGTATAGAGAGAGAGAGAGAGAGAGAGAGAGAGAGAGAGAGAGAGAGAGAGAGAGAGAGAGGAGATGAAGAGTTCACACCTTGGCTCTTATATCATAACTGTCTGTTGTTCCTCTTGTGCCCGTTACTGCCTCTGTTGTTGTTGCTGTGGTGACCGTTGGTGCCTCTGTTGTTGCTGTTGTGGTGACCGTTGGTGCCTCTGTTGTTGCTGTTGTGGTGACCGTTACTGCCTCTGTTGTTGCTGTTGTGGTGACCGTTGGTCCCTCTGTTGTAGCTGTTGTGGTGACCGTTGGTGCCTCTGTTGTTGCTGTTGTGGTGACCGTTGGTCACTGTTGTGGTGACCGCTGGTGCCTCTGTTGTTGCTGTTGTGGTGACCGTTGGTGCCTCTGTTGTTGTTGTTGTGGTGACCGTTGGCGCCTCTGTTGTTGCTTTTGTGGTGGCCGTTGGTGTCTCTGTTGTTACTGTTGTGGTGACCGTTGGTCACTGTTGTTGCTGTTGTGGTGACCGTTGGTGCCTCTGTTGTTGTTGTTGTGGTGACCGTTGGCGCCTCTGTTGTTGCTTTTGTGGTGGCCGTTGGTGCCTCTGTTGTTACTGTTGTGGTGACCGTTACTGCCTCTGTTGTTGCTGTTGTGGTGACCGTTACTGCCTCTGTTGTTGCTGTTGTGGTGATCGTTACTGCCTCTGTTGTTGCTGTTGTGGTGACCGTTACTGCCTCTGTTGTTGCTGTTGTGGTGACCGTTGGTCCCTCTGTTGTAGCTGTTGTGGTGACCGTTGGTGCCTCTGTTGTTGCTGTTGTGGTGACTGTTGGTCACTGTTGTGGTGACCGTTGGTCCCTCTGTTGTAGCTGTTGTGGTGACCGTTGGTGCCTCTGTTGTTGCTGTTGTGGTGACCGTTGGTCACTGTTGTGGTGACCGCTGGTGCCTCTGTTGTTGCTGTTGTGGTGACCGTTGGTGCCTCTGTTGTTGCTGATGTGGTGGTGACCGTTACTGCCTCTGTTGTTGCTGTTGTGGTGACCGTTGGTCCCTCTGTTGTGGTGACCGTTGGTCCCTCTGTTGTGGTGACCGTTGGTGTCTCTGTTCTTGCTGTTGTGGTGACCGTTGGTGCCTCTGTTGCTGCTGTTGTGGTGACCGTTGGTCCCTCTGTTGTTGCTGTTATGGTGACCGTTGGTGTCTCTGTTGTTGCTGTTGTGGTGACCGTTGGAGCCTCTGTTGTTGCTGTTGTGGTGACCGTTGGCGCCTCTGTTGTTGCTGTTGTGGTGACCGTTGGCGCCTCTGTTGTTGCTGTTGTGGTGACCGTTGGTGCCTCTATTGTTGCTGTTGTGGTGACCGTTGGTGCCTCTATTGTTGCTGTTGTGGTGACCGTTACTCTCTCTGTTGTGGTGACCGTTACTGCCTCTGTTGTTGCTGTTGTGGTGACCGTTGGTCCCCTCTGTTTTTGCTGTTGTGGTGACCGTTGGTGCCTCTGTTGTTGCTGTTGTGGTGACCGTTGGTGTCTCTGTTGTTGCCACAGCGCCCCCATCTCCACACAGCCCCCCCCCCGGGTGCCACCAGGCACCACCTCACCATTGTTCCCTACTTAATACACCCCCGTAATCTATCATATATTTAGGCCTCTACTTGGCACCTTCAAAGACCACTCTCTTAACTGCCCTTTCACTCAAGACACATTGTAACCCCTTTCTAATACGCTATTTCACTCAGGATATACTCTATAACCCCTTTCTAACTCGCTATTTCACTCGGGATATACTCTATAACCCCTTTCTAACGCGCTATTTCACTCAGGATATACTCTATAACCCCCTTTCTAACGCGCTATTTCACTCAGGATATACTCTATAACCCCTTTCTAACTCGCTATTTCACTCAGGATATACTCTATAACCCCTTTCTAACGCGCTATTTCACTCAGGATATACTCTATAACCCCTTTCTAACGCGCTATTTCACTCAGGATATACTCTATAACCCCTTTCTAACAAACTTAAACATCTTCTTATTTTCTTTTGTGGCATTTAATTTGCTTTTCTTTACTACTAATAAATGTAATTTCCTTAATGCCGGTGTCACAAAAAAACGCCCCTTTCTCCTGTGATAGAAGAAAATGACCCTTTCTCTCTCGGGACACAAGAAAATGCCACTTTCTCTCTCGGGACACAAGAAAATGCCCCTTTCTCTCTCGGGACACAAGAAAATGCCCCTTTCTCTCTCGGGACACAAGAAAATGCCCCTTTCTCTCTCGGGACACAAGAAAATGCCCCTTTCTCTCTCGGGACACAAGAAAATGCTGCTTTCTTCTGTGACAAACACATAATTCCCTTTTCTCCTAAAAAAAAAAAAAATCCCGTGTTTTACATTCAGCAGCGCTCCTGTGCCAGGTAAGTTCACTACGGGCTCACCATAGCCCGTGCTACTTGGTACTTGTTCCGAGTAGCTGAATCTATAACAACACCAACAACCCGTGTTTCATCTCAATAGAAAAATTGTCTAATTTATATAGCGTTGTCTTAGTGTGGGTGTAATTACGAAGTTACCCTTCAGTTAGTACCTACTGGGAGAGTGTCTACTGGGAGAGTGTCTACCGGGAGAGTATCTACTGGGAGAGTGTCTACTGGGAGAGTGTCTACCGGGAGAGTGTCTACTGGGAGAGTGTCTACCGGGAGAGTGTCTACTGGGAGAGTGTCTACTGGGAGAGTGTCTACCGGGAGAGTGTCTACTGGGAGGGTGCCTACTGGGAGAGTGTCTACTGGGAGAGTGTCTACTGGGAGAGTGTCTACCGGGAGAGTGTCTACTGGGAGAGTGTCTACTGGGAGAGTGTCTACTGGGAGAGTGCCTACTGGGAGAGTGTCTACTGGGAGAGTGTCTACTGGGAGAGTGCCTACTGGGAGAGTGTCTACTGGGAGAGTGTCTACTGGGAGAGTGTCTACTGGGAGAGTGTCTACTGGGAGAGTGCCTACTGGGAGAGTGTCTACTGGGAGAGTGTCTACTGGGAGAGTGTCTACTGGGAGGGTGCCTACTGGGAGAGTGTCTACTGGGAGAGTGTCTACTGGGAGGGTGCCTACTGGGAGAGTGTCTACTGGGAGGGTGTCTACTGGGAGAGTGCCTACTGGGAGAGTGCCTACTGGGAGAGTGTCTACTGGGAGGGTGCCTACTGGGAGAGTATCTACTGGGAGAGTGCCTACTGGGAGAGAGCCTACTGGGAGAGTGCCTACTGGGAGAGTGTTTACTGGGAGAGTGTCTACCGGGAGAGTGTCTACTGGGAGAGTGCCTACTGGGAGAGTGCCTACTGGGAGAGTGCCTACTGGGAGAGTGCCTACTGGGAGAGTGCCTACTGGGAGGGTGCCTACTGGGAGAGTGTCTACTGGGAGAGTGTCTACTGGGAGGGTGTCTACTGGGAGAGTGCCTACTGGGAGAGTGCCTACTGGGAGAGTGCCTACTGGGAGAGTGCCTACTGGGAGAGTGCCTACTGGGAGAGTGTCTACTGGGAGAGTGTTTACTGGGAGAGTGTCTACCGGGAGAGTGTCTACCGGAAGAGAGCCTACCGGAAGAGTGCCTACCGGGACAGGGCCTACCGGGAGAGGGCCTACCGGAAAGCATTGTTAATGTAAAACACAGCAACTGGTTCACTCGTAGACCTTGACTCGAAGGAAGAAATTGATGTAGGCGGTTCCCAGTTAGAAAAAAAAATAGAAGAGGGAAAAGGGCAAAAGCCTACAAGAAGGCGTTCGAAACCCCTCACTTTAGCACAAGAATGCGTTCGAACCCTCATCTTAGCACAAGAAGGCTTTCAAACCCTTCAACTTAACACAAGAAGGCGTTCGAACGCTTGAAGTTTTTATGAACGGCATTTTTTAGCAGACGAAGAGGTTCGAACCCTCACAAGAGGCCGCTCGAATCTTTACGTTAGGACATTCGTAAAAAAAAAAAAATGAAAAAATGCGAAATAGGCTGGTTTTGGAAGTTGATCTCGTGGGTCCATAAACTAGGACGGGAAGGTTCGAGGAGCCGTTCGAAACCCCGCTAACGAAGCACGCTCGAGGCATAAACAAAAACAGAACTTCCCAAACAGCCGCGGGGGCTAATTGGCCATTTCCTGATTGGGCGAACAATATGGCACGACTGAGGGGTGGAGGGGGGGGAGGGGTGGAGGAGGGGGGGTAGCGGGGGTAGCGGGGGGGGAGGGTAAAGGACCAGGATGACAGGGGGGGGGGTAGGGGATGTAAAGAAGTAGGAAAGGCGTGGAGATAAGAGGAGGAGGAAGAGAAAGAGCGGAAGGAAGAGTAGCAGGAAGAGGAGGATAGCAAAGATAAGTTTGAGAATTCAGAAATGATTGTTAGGAGAAAGAGGGGAAGGAGGACCCTGGAAACACAAACCGTAACTGTCTCTATTTTCCGCTTGTTACAACTTGTAATAAAGTTGTTACATCTTGGCTTAACGTGTTTGTGACGTATTAGAACGTTGTTACAACTCGCTATATTGGTTGTTATAACTGGTTAGGTGTTAAAACTCGTTCGAACGTTGTACCAACGTCGTAGTTTCGGTGTGTGTTTGGCGGGGAGGAGGAGGAGGAGGAGGAGGAGGAGGAGGAGGAGGAAGAAGAGGGACAACATTTGGAGGGGAAGGAGAGGGGAAGGAGGAGAAGTAACAAGAGGAAGAATGGAGAATAACGGAACATGTTTTGAAACTTCCCTCTCATCATCCTTCCTTTGTTCTCTTACCATTTTCCTTCCTCCTGCTTCTCTGTTATCTTTCTCATCATTCTATCACTTTTCGTTCAGTTTTCTTCCCAGCTGTTTCTTCCTCTCCTTTACATTCTATACTCGCCTCTCCTTCCTCACTTCCCTCCCTTTCACTCATGGTTTCTCCTTCCCCTTATTCCTTGCTTTCTCTCTACACTTTCATATTATTTTTTTCCTTCCCTTTCTTTCTCCTTTAGCTCCCTTTCAGGTCTTAATTATATTTTCATTATCCCCTTCAATATTTGTTCTTCTTTATTTTTTCTTCTCTTTTAATTTCCCTTCCTTTCCTCCTTTCCCTTACTCTTATTCCTTTTCTTCCATTCCTACTCCCTCTTATCCCTATTCCCCCGTCATCTTATCTCTTCCTGTTCTTTCTTTTACATCTCCGCGTTTACCTCTTTACAGATGGCTGGACGAGAAAAAGATAATGGAATGGGGGAGGCGAATGGAAGGAATAAAAGCAGTAGATAACAGATCATAAGTAGAGAGAGAGATGGGAGAGATAGTGCAGAGAAAGGCGAGAGATATATAATGAGTAACGTTGATAATGAGAGGTGAATGAGAGAGAGAGAGATGAGGGATGGGAAATAATGCTCTCCAGGTGAAAAATGATGATTGGAAGCGACGGATTGGAAGAGATAATAACAGATGCTGTGGGAAAGAATGAGTCTGAGGAAGGGACGGATGTCTGGAGGAAGAGGGAAGGGGATGGAATGATCTTATAAATAACTTTTAGTTCTTGTGCTCTCTTATCACCTTCGTAATTTGTAATTGAATTCTTTTTGATTGAGTTGAGTTGACAATCTGTATGACTCTGTGAGGAGGCCTGGTCGACGACCGGGCCGCGGGGACGCTAAGCCCCGGAAGCATCTCAAGGTAACCTTGAGGTGACTCGGGTGTGGGATCGCCTTATTCTTCTGTGCTCATGCAACCCGTCCTCGACTCAAGTCCATTACATCCAGCGGTCGACCCCACAGACGCATTCATAAATTTCAACATGCTGTTCATTCAAAACGGGACTTTTCTCAAATATAAATTAATATTATAATATATTAGCATATTGTGCATATATAGGCATAGGCATAGGTTAGGATAGGTGTTTAGGTTCTGTTGGCGATTATTTGTATTTGTAGTACGTGGGTGAAGCATTTACAGCGTTGTGGTTCGAACAAAATTCGCCAATGAAGCACTTGTTCCGGAAGTGTTCGAACGTTAACAGTTGTAAGTCGTGTGTAAACCGTTTTTCATTCATAAACTGGGGGTTTGGCGGGTGGATGGAATCACTTTTGGGTCTTTGGATGACGGGCTGGCTCATGCGACAGCCCAGGAACAACCCATCCTCGACTCAAGTCCATTACATTCAGCGGTCGACCCCACAGACGCATTCATAAATTTTAACATGCTGTTCATTCAAAACGGGAATTTTCTCAAGTATAAATTAATATTATAATATATTAGCATATTGTGTATAAATAGGCATAGGTTAGGTTAGGTGTTTAGGTTCTGTTGGCGATTATTTGTATATGTAGTACGTGGGTGAAGCATTTACAGCGTTGTGGTTCGAACAAAATTCGTCAGTGAAGCACTTGTTCCGGATATGTTCGAACGTCAGCAGTTGTGAGTCGTGTGTAAACCGCTTTTCATTCATAAACAGGAGGTTTGGCGGGTGCATGGAATCACTTTTGGATCTTTGTTTGGAGGACGGGCTGCCAGGAAAGGCTTAAAGTTTCAGTTTGGACAGCAGTTTGGCGCCTCTGAAATCCTTCCTTGTTGTTGCTAGCTCGTGGCTCAGTCGATAGAGCATCCGTCTTTCATGCTGGAGGTCACGTGTTCGAGGCTCCTATTGCCCTGGTGAATGAAATGTTCCTAGCCACTATTGAGGTTGACACTAGGAAGCTGTTGTAGTTGTAGTAGGAAGATATGGGTGGGCCTCTGAGACCAGGCCACCCGACGCCCCGTAATATGAACTAGGAGAAAACAAACGTTAGTTTAAACATCTAAGGTCTCTTACAATCCTGAAAGATGATCTGAAGATCGCCATTATGTTAAGTTACTCAGAGAGGGAATGAGGAGTTTATGGTGTGGGGGAGGGTGGTTGTGTGGGGAGGTTTATGGTGTGGGAAAGAGTGATAATTTCACTGATAAATCACTGTTACTACAATAATAATATTAATAATTGTTTACTTATTAAGGAAATGTTATGCTTGGTCAGTAATTATAACACCCGTGTGTGTGTGTGAGAACTGTAATTAGGTATAACCCCCCACTCCCCCTGCCATCACCCCCCGGCCCCTCCCCCCAGTATCACCCCCCCTCTACCCCTTACCCCCCCCACACTCTCACCTATCTCCTGACGTGTACAGTTTGCCTCAGACCCGCTGTGGCAGGTGCCTGCCCCTGTGGCAGGTGTCTGCCCCTGTGGCAGGTGCCTGGCGCTGTGGCACCACTCTGGCTACAGGTTGTCCAACTCCCTAACAGATGTTGTGCAAGTGTTGACATCTTGCACAACCACCCTGCAATATTTGACAGAAGATAGACCAGTTTGATCATGTTATTGGAATTACCCCATTACTGCAGGCCACCGTGCTAAATTACCCCATTACTGCAGGCCACCGTGCTAAATTACCCCATTACTGCAGGCCCCCGTGCTAAATTACCCCATTACTGCAGGCCACCGTGCTAAATTATCCCCATTACTGCAGGCCACCGTGCTAAATTACCCCATTACTGCAGGCCACCGTGCTAAATTACCCCATTACTGCAGGCCACCGTGCTAAATTACCCCATTACTGCAGGCCACCGTGCTAAATTACCCCATTACTGCAGGCCACCGTGCTAAACTTCCCCATTACTGCAGGCCACCGTGCTAAATTACCCCATTACTGCAGGCCACCGTGCTAAATTACCCCATTACTGCAGGCCACCGTGCTAAATTACCCCATTACTGCAGGCCACCGTGCTAAACTTCCCCATTACTGCAGGCCACCGTGCTAAACTTCCCCATTACTGCAGGCCACCGTGCTAAATTATCCCTACTCTTTCCTCATCCCTAGCCTCCCTTCTTTCTAGATTCTCCCCGTCCCCCTCCCTTCCCCCCTCCCCGTCTCCCCTTCCTCTCCCTCTCCCCCCTTCCCCTCCCTCTCTGCCCTCTCCCCCTACTTGTGTCCTACTCACAGCCAGGGACCATTAGTTCTTGGTAGGAGTTTGGCAGCTTCTAAAAGACATGTGCTGAAATAGCCTCGAAGGCTCCCACCAGCACCGCTCTCACCCACTATGTCTGAAATTTTTGCATGGAAATCTGATCGGTGTGGGCTCACCACCTCTCCCCCCCCCCCACCACCATGGTCGAGTCCCACTTGGGCTCTTCTTTCCCTCAGCCCCTCGTGAGGGGCAGCTCGGGGAGAGGCCTAGACCAAGGAGGCCTAGACCAAGGTCTGGGGTCACTTAGTTATGGTCTGTGGTCGTTTGCCTCGTCTTAATTATGGTGTGAGGTCGTTGACTGCCTTAGGTTGTTAGCCCTGTGGGGTCCACGAGTAGTGAGAGTGAGAGTGTGAGAGTGAGAGTGATGGTGAGAGTGATGGTGAGAGTGATGGTGAGAGTGATGGTGAGAGTGATGGTGAGAGGGAGAGAGCCAGCAATAATTAGAGTACATTATTCGTAAACAATTCTGGTTAACAACATAATTTGATATAGTTGTTCGAGATGGTTCAAGATCTCGGCATTCGTAACGAAATGGTGCGAAAGAGGTAGTTTGGTTTTGCCTAAATTCTGGTGGCTACCCAGCCACTTTGACTGGACGGTAGAGCGACGGTCTCGCTTCATGCAGGTCGGCGTTCAATCCCCGACCATCCAAGTGATTGGGCACCATT